TTTTTTTTTTTGAGATCCCTTCGAGGTGAACATTGGAATGCTGAATGACTAATTCTGTTCAATATGGCTGCCAAGTGTACGTACTGTATCACTCACTGTGCATATCTACAGATTGGTCTGGCTAGTTCCTATATCCAGTTCTGGCCGTTGCTCAGGCAACCGCCAACATCTCACTTACAGTGCCCATGGCACATACAAACATCACATGAAAGATATGCAGTCTCTTTCCTAACTACAGGACAACATGATTGTGTTACTGCAGTGGATGGACTTGTCCTGTCTGTCTTCTGCTGTGTGACGTTTGAGCTACATTCAAGTCTGGCATGATGTTGTGGAGGTTTGTGCAATGGATGAATTTCAGACAGCCTTCAAATCAAGCCTCTGTAACTGATTTCCCACCATATTGTGCTTGTAACACCGTTTATAGCAGGAGAATCGTCATGTGAGGTCTGACCTTCCGTTGTGTTTTGCATCGACTCGGTCCATACCCAGACCCCTGGTCTCTCTCTTCTGGTCTTTGGGCAGTGAAAGGATACAGTTGGTTAAGTCTCCTCAACACAGACAAGTGCAGTGCACCTGTTGTCGCAAGATCGTGGATGCCAGAGTATTGTAAACAAAGCTGTGGTGTCAGTCAGATGGGCTCTGCTGTGAATGGAAACCACTAGTGGGACATTTTTTTTAGTATTACAGGAACAGGAAGTGTACGCAACCAACAAATGGCTTACTTATATTATATGTGTATTAAACTTACACTATCATTCAGTTTGGGTCAGTTAGATTTTTTACATTTTTTGAAAGAAGCCTTTTATGCTCAACATGGCTGCATTTATTGGATGAAAAATACAGTAAAACTGTAATATTGTGAAATATGATTATAATTTTATAATTTAATATTTAATATTCAACTTAAATAGCTGTGTTCTATTTTATTAGATTATAAAATATAATTTGATATATTTATGATGGCAAAGCTGAATTTTCAGCATCATTACTCCAGTCTTCAGTGTCACATGATCCTTCAGAAATCATTCTAATATGTTGATTTGGTGCTCGAGAAACATTTCTTATTTTTATCAATGTTGAAAACAGTTGTGCCATGTTATAAATAGTTATGTTAATGTTTTTTGTGGAAACCGTGATACATTTTTTATTTGTTCAAAATGCTTTAATTAATAGGAAATTCAAAAGAACACCATTTATTTGAAATGGAAATCTTTTGTAAAACCTTCATGTATTCCTGCTGAATAAAAGTGTTAATTTCTTTAAAACATCTTACAGACCCCAAGCTTTTGAATAGTAGTGTAGATTATATTATTGAGAGAGGACATAAATTTAAATGTTAATTTATATTTATATTTATAACACATATCTCTGCATTTTAATATTTTGGAAAATTACAGCAAAAATCATTTTGCTGCACTGTTTTAATTTTACAACAAAGTTGTATGTTTTCATCTTGCGCATTGCTATTTGGAAATATTGTAAAAAAAAAAATTGTTCTGAGCTTGGTTGAATTTTTTAGGTAGGTAGTTTCAGCATGTAGTTGAATTAACCATAAAAAACAGCTTTTAGAAGCAACGTTGCAGACAGACACACACAAAAAAAATAAAGTATATAATTTTTCATTCATATGTGACATCTGTGCCTCCCCACTGTTAAAAAGCACATTAAACTGGCATAGAAGAATTTTATCATTGAAAACATGGCACACTTTATCTTTAAAGAGTCAGTACAGACTGTCCTGTAATTCACTCAGTAGCTGGTTCAGGATTTAAGAGTTTTTCTGATGCAGTGGAGATATTTGCGATGTCTTCTGTCCTCTTTTATCTGCCTTTTCTACCCCATAATCTATCTATCTATCTATCTTTCTTTCTATCTTTCTTTCCTTCAGTGACTACGTAATCAAGGAGAAGACAGTCCTCCTGCAGAAAAAAGACAATGAAGGATTTGGCTTTGTGCTGAGAGGAGCCAAGGGTAAGAGCAGGGTGCAATATATTCTTTTTACATATAAATATATGTTTCAGCATTTTAATTAGCATCAAAGTTAGATCGCAGATTTGTCATTATGCTGTAAATAGACACTCATTAACAGGATCATCACAGATATATCACAAAAAAAACTTTAGTTTTTGTTTGAAACATATTTATATTTATGTTATTAAAGAACTACTGAAAAACCACTGACAAAAATTATTTTAATAAATCGACCCCCCTGAAAGTCATTGAATAAGTCACACACTGCATAAGAGGGCACATTCACTCTTGCTCTTTATCTCTTACACTCACATTTATACTGATGCATTTCAAAATTAGAACATTTATCTTTTATCACTGTTCATCCTTTCTTTTTCATTTTCTTGTGTTTTCTCATAACTGTCCATGTATTGTAAACTTCAATAGAACATTCTGGACATGCATTATATAAATGCCCTCTCTTTGTAGCTCAGACCCCTATAGAAGAGTTCACTCCCACCCCAGCCTTTCCAGCACTGCAGTACCTTGAGTCTGTTGACGAGGGAGGCGTGGCTTGGAGAGCTGGTCTGCGAATGGGAGACTTCCTTATCGAGGTGTCTGTAGAACTGCATCATAGAACTTATATTCTGTCCTTCCCTTTATCATTACTTGAAGTCTCTCTAGAATTGTCCTCATTACTCAAGGTCTCTCTGTCTCTTTCTGTATCTTTCTGTATGTTGTTTCTTTCTCTTTTCCAGGTGAATGGTCAGAATGTGGTTAAGGTGGGACACAGGCAGGTGGTCAATATGATCAGGCAAGGCGGCAACAGCCTCATGGTTAAGGTTGTCATGGTTACCCGAAATCCTGATATGGAGGAAGGGGTCAGAAGGAAAAGTAAGAGATACAAATTCACACAGCAGCGACAACAGTGAAGCATTACATGATGATCATGACAGCAGTGACCTCTCTCTCTCTCTCTCTCTCCACACAGTCCCACAGCAGAGTAAAAGGCTGAGCACACCAGCTATTGCTCTGCGTTCCAAATCCATGACATCAGAACTGGAAGAGATGGGTAAGATGTGGGAAATGGGAGGATAGAAGAATGGGGGGAAAGCTAGTGCAGTGTTTCCCAACCTTTTTTGACTCCTACAGCCCCCTTACTACGGCTAAATTACCCCTTAATCAACACAAACCAGAAATGTTTCATTTGAATTCATATTATGCTGGATATCATTTACAATTATCATTCTATCAAGTGACACAGAAATCTGCCTCTGTCAGGTGTTTTTATGTAGTACATACTCTACCGTTCAAAAGTTTGGGCTCATTAAGTGTCATATGCTTACCAAGGCTGCATTTATTTGATCAAAATACAGCAAAAACAGTAATATTGTGAAATATTATAACAATTTAAATGTAATTTTCTAGTTCAATATATTTAAAAATCAAATTTAGCAAAGCTGAATTTTCAGCATCATTACTCAAGTCTTCAGTGTCGCATGATCCTTCTGAAATCAGTCTGATATACTGATTTGCTGCAAGAAACATTTCCTATTATTATCAATGTTGAAAACGTTTCACTGTCATATATCTAGTCATACATAAAGTTAAGAAATCAAGCACAGAGTTGTTTTAAGCACTCCCTGCTTATGTAACCCCTGGGGTTTGCATACCCTTAGCTGGAAATCACTGCACTAGAGGACAGAACCAGAAGGTTTAGAGAGAGAGAGAGAGAGAGAGAAGACAGTGAAGAGAGAAATTCAAGAGAGCAAAACAGAATAGTTTGAATGATCAGAAGGGGGAGGGATTGAAGAAGAGAGAGTGAATGGGAGAATAAACGATCACAGTCATACACTGAAAGGAAGTAGAAAAGATGGAGGGAAGTGTTTGAACCGGATGGCATAGAGATCGAGAGGAAAAGAAAGAGAGAGAGAGAGACAGCATTAAGAATGTTCTTTCACTGTTCTTTCAGAAGTTCCACACTGTCACTACCAGCACCCCCACTACAGGTAACCCCCCAAAAACTGTCCCCTCCCAACCCTTATATCCCCCGCCTTCCACCTTATCCCTCAATCCTACACCTGCAACCCCTGTTAGCTTTAACCCTAAACCTCAATCTAAACCACCTCCCTTGTAGTCACACACCTCTGGCTCTCAGAGAAACAGGTTTCTGAGTGCTGCGCGTGTTGCTGTAGTAACGCAGCGGGCAGTGGGCATTGCTAGAGAGGCACAGTATGTGCTTGCTCAAGGTGTCACCATCACTGACAATCATTTAGTTTATCAATCAGGCTTATACAACATTGAGAGGATCAGACTAGATCATTTCAACGGCCCACCACCAATACAAACACAGCTTATTGTCATCTGTATCCAAATCGATGTACACACCTTCCCCTATCAACCTTTAAAACCAGAATCACCTCTTGTAGTCCACTGAGGCATGTTTTCCCTTCTACCTTCTCTTCAGCCCAAGCAATATTCTCAGAGCTCACAGTCCCTAGTGGCCCTGTGTCTACTGTAAATGCTCAACGCTCTCCTCAGCCCAGTTCTCATAATTCAGTAGTCAGGGTTAATGTGAGGGTAATGCAATTCGGTAATAGTGAGTACTGATTATAGCACTCAATCAGATTGGCTGGCTTCTATTTAGGTTCTGGTGAAAATCAGGATGAACAGGTGTTAATCATAAACATAGTCATGTTTACAACAAACACTTCTAAGCAAGAACTAGATGTAACCAGTTTGCCAAGTTCATGGTATTTAATTTTTTACAAGATATTCATAGTTTATTCTAAGCGTTTAGTACCATGTAACACGGACATACTTGTGCACAATGGTATATTCAGTACAGATGAACAATATATCAGCTGTCATACGGATAGCCTACTGTTATGATAAGTAAAATAGGCCAATATATATTTATTTATTTATTTAGTCATTTAGCAGACGCTTTTATTGATGGTCCGTCATCTAACAAGAAATGTCTGTTAGACATGCTGAGATGCGAGCAGCTATCGTCGGATCATCAGGATGGAATGAGAGGTAGAGTTGAGTGTCATCAGCATAGCAGTGATATGAAAAGCCATGTTTCTGAATGACAGAACCTAGTGATGCCATGTAGACAGAGAAGAGAAGTGGTCCAAGTACTGAGCCCTGAGGCAGTATATATATACACTACTTTTTAGGGCTGCCCCCTAATAGTCGACTAATTGTTACTCGACGAGAAAAGGCTTAGTCGACCATATTTTTTTTAGTCGCTTAGTCGGAGAAAAAAAAATAATACACAGGAAGTGGCGAAGTCATGCATTCTGCGACGAAAGATCGTTAACAGCTGCTCTATGCGGTAATATACAGTACATCGGCCAGGGCATCCAAACGCTCGCCTATCATTCATCGACCTCAAATATGGATTATCATCTGAAACATGTAAGTAGTAGCAACTTCACATGGCCGCTCGCTCTAACGTTAACCTATAAAAATGTGAGCTATTTCAGTGTTTGTGCGGAATGAGGAATCACGTGCCGGTGTGATCACTTGCGCTTAAATTTTTTGGGTCATACAAATAGGAGTTATACATCTTTGTATGCTTTAAAGACTCTTCTTTTATTTGTGTGCAGTCACAATAACAAAACAAAAAACTGTGATTTTGTAAAATAATGAAAGCGAACAGGGTGCGCGTGTGCGTTCTGCCGTCTCATCGCGGTCTTTGAACTTGAGCGCGTCAAATAATAAAACGAAACTCCGTGTATACTTGCCTCAGGCATAAGAAATATAGGCCTATCTATAGAAAGCGAAATGTCTGCTTTTTTAAACGAACCAATTCAGATGGAAAACAACTATTCTCAGGTTATGTGATC